CATCTGCACTACCTTATATGTGTTATCTTCCCAATTAGAATGTAAACTCCTTGAAGGCAAGGGCATCTTGCTTTATGTACATCTTTTGCTTATAATATATAATAAATATATATTTTATTTACATAAATATAAAAAATAAAAATATAAAAAAGACAGCCTCAACTTCTCTTGTACCATATATCGAATCAGTTGCCACATCTTGCTTGTCTTACCTCTATAACATCTCTCCCAGGTGTTCCTAATTACCACTTTTACAGTCACCATATTAGTGTGATGACCAGGAGTGTGGAACCTGTAGCCTCATGGCCACATTTGACTTTCTAGGTCCTTGGGTGCAGCCTTTTGATTGAGTCCAAGTTTTACAGAACAAATCCTTTTATAAATGGGATTTGTTCTGTGAAGTTTAGATTCAGTCAAAGGGAAGCACTTGAAGACCTAGAGGGCCATACGTGGCCTTGAGGCCTCAGGTTCCCACCCCTTATATATTATACTATAATCCCTTATAACCTCTTGCCTGGATACTGCAATAACTTCTTAATTGGGCTATCTACTTCATGTCTCTGGCCTCTAATCATCCACATAGCAGCCAAATTATTTAGTTAAAGCATAGATCTGACCAGATCATTCTCCTACTCAATATACTCTAATGGTTCCCTATTACCTCTAAGTTAAAATATAAATTCTTTTGAATAGCATTCACGTGCAAACACCTCTATTGACATTCAAAACTTTTCACAGTGTGGTCACTATTTAATGTTCCAGTATTTGACATGTAAACATTATTATACAATCAAATTTCCCAATATTACACATATGACGCACATAACTCCCCTTCACAACCTCTAAGGTTTAGCCATGCTGACCTCTTACTATTTTCCCTAGATAGCACTGCATCTTTCATCTACATGACTTTGTACTTTCTATCCTGAAACTTGGAATGCAATCCCACCTTTTACCTTTTATCCCATCTCTTCCTTTTAGAACCTCTAATTTCATTGAAGATTCAACTCAAGCAGTACCTTTTATATGAGGCCTTTCCTAACACTTCCAGCTGCTAGTGCATTCATGGTTAAAAAAGTGTCTTATATCTATTTTTGTATATATGTATATGTGACCATGTTTGTCTCTCATGGGAAAAAATGTGGAATGAAAGAAATAAATGAATATTTATTAGACATTTGCTATATATCAGGTAGTATGCTAAGCAATTTATTAATGGTATCTCATTTGATCCTCACAACAGCCCTAAGAGGTAGGTGTTATTATTATGTCCATTTTACAATTGAAGAAATGGAGGCAGAGAGAGGTAAAGTAACATACTCAGGGTCACAAAGATAATAAGTGTGGGCAGGATTTGAACTTAAGTCTTTCTAACTCAAGACCCAGTCTTCCATCCTCTGTGTCACCTACTTTGTTTTGTTTTTGTATCCATGGCACATATTCTAGTATCTGGCATATAGGAGGAGCTTAATAAATGCTTATTAATAAATTGATTGACATTGTAGAAGAGGTTCTTGGTCAGGGATGGGTTGAACTATGAGACTTCTAATTCTGAGATTCTATCACTCTATGATTGTTTACTACCCATTTATAATAGTCAAGAACCCCATTCACTTTTTTAATTAAAATTTATTTTTGATTGGCATTCAATTTTTCTCCCTTCCAATTATTCTCCCTACTGGAAAAAAGAAAAACAAAATCATAATACTAAATATGACTTTTTAGTGGGATATGTAAGCTAAGGAACTGTTTTGTTAGTTTGTGTATGTGTGTGACTTTGTTCCAAGCTGTCTAGAATAGCTATTAATGGCAAATAGTCTTTTTCTAAGTAGCCATCCACACCCATGTTGCTGTTTAGTTGCTTTCAGTCATGCCTGACTCTGTTTCCCCTTTTGGGGTTTTCTTGTTTGAAAAAAGAATAGGATGGAGTGGAAAAAGTTGGACTATATGAACTCCTAGGTCCCACCTAGGTCCAATTCTATGTAATCATTTCTTAGAATGATAGTCATTCTCTAATCAAAGGATTTAAAGAGGCAACTCCCAAAGAAAGAATTCCAAGCTATAACAGGCATATGGAAAAAATGCTCCAAAATTCTCATAATTAGAGAAACACAAATCATTAAACCACTCTTTTTAACTAATGACTATCAGATTGGCAAAAATGACAGAAAAGGAAAATGACAATTGTTGGAAGGACTGTGGAAAGACAGGCACACTGATTTGCTATTGATGGAGTTGTGACTATGTCTAGCCATTTTGGAGCAGTTCAGAACTATATTCCAAAAGTCTAAAAACAGTGTATACCTGTTTACTCAACAATATCACTGTTAGATCTACATGCCCAAGAAATAAAGAGGACAAATTATTCATTTGTGCAGAGATATTTATAGTAACTGTATTTGTTGTAGGAATCAACTATAAACAAAGTGATGTTGTATACATGGCCATATTTTTAGATGTATGTAGTCATTTCCAAATTGACTGTTCTCAAAATTCTCTTCTCACATTTGCTTTTCAGATTATTTCCTAACAGACTTAAAAAATTTGGTTGAATTCTATTTCATCATCATCCTTGCATCTCATCCTGGAGGTATATCACCTAGGCAGCTTTTTTTTTTGCTATTGGCCAATTCATTTCTCTCACATGTGGTTTCTTCCATATTATTGTTGAGGAAAAAAATGTATTCTAGAAAGTCATCTAGTATCAAGTCTAATTAATTTCCACCTCCTAAAATTATCAGGCTTTAACAGGAGGTTAATAAGAAGGGAGTTTAAACCTTTAATTGTTTGTGTGTTTCCTGAGAGTATTTTCAGCAGGTTGTAAAAATATCATGTGGGCTGGTAAATTGTCATCATGTAGTTATATAACTTTATTACAATAATAAGAGCTACACAAATATTTTTCATATGAATTAAAATTGTACATTTTATTGTACATAATATTAATTAGAATTGTACCCATTAGAATTGTAGAAATAAATGGGGCCACTACAAAAGCTATAAGATTGAAATAGCAATATGTTGTCCTCCATCTTGAATACCTTTCATTGTCCCTGAGGAAGAACTGGCCCTTCTCCTCACCATGGCCAACTTCTCCACTTGTGTACTGGAGCCTATTCTCTCATCTCCTCTAAGAGCTTCTTCTATTCTTCATTCCCTTCCTTTCTCTTTCATCTTCAATTTCTCCCTAACTACTGACTCTTCCCTCTACATATGCTTAGATCTTTCCCTTCCTTAAAAAAAAATAAAGCATCAGTCGATCTTTTCATCTCCTCACCAAACTGCTATTATCTTTCTGCCTATTCATCACCAAACTTCTAGAAAAAAGTTATCTATACTTGCTGAATCCACTTCTTTTTTCAAAATAATATTTTAATTTTTTTTACCAAATTACATGTTAAAACAATTTGTAACATTTTAAAATAAATTTTGAGTTCCAAATTCTCTCCTTCTCTCCATCACTTCCTCCCTCCCCTAATCCCTCCCTGGGATCATAAGCAATCCTATATAGTTATACATGTTCAATCATGTGAAATATTTCCATAGTAGTTATTTTTTACAGAAAGACTAAGATAAAAAAAGAATGAATGAATGAAAGAAAGACAGAAAGAAAAAAAGAAAGAGAAAGTAAAAATAGCATGCTTTAGCCTGTTTTCTGAAAATATCAGTTCTTTTTCTAGAGGCAGATAGTATGCTTCATCAGGAGTCCATTGGGATTGTCTTGGATCATTGTGTTTCTGAGAATAGCTAAGTCATTCACAGTTCATTGTACAATATTGCTGTTACTGTGTACAAAATTCTCCTGGTTCTGTTCACTTCTTTTTGTATCAGTTCATGTAAGCCCTTCCAGGTTTTTGTGAAATCATTCCAGTTGTCATTTCTTATAACACAATAATAGCTGAATCTACTTCTTTAGCATCTCCTCACTTCTAAGTACCATGACAATATCATTTGCAACCCAATAAATTGATGAAATTTTTAGCTCCAAGACTACCAATAACCTCTTCATTGCTAAATTCTGCAACCTTCTCTAAGGCCTCATTGTTCTTGACTTTTCTGTGTCTTTTGACACTGTCACAACCAACCCCTCAATGTCTTCTTTCCTCCCCTCTGCCCCATAATTCTACTCTCCAGGGTATCCTTAAACTTCACTTATCACTCTTTAGACTCCTTTGCTGGATAGATCTTTGTCCATCTCTTGTACTTTTAGTATTAGAGTATTACAATGCTCTCTCTCTACTCTCATCTGCTCTCATAGATTCAAGAATCATCTCTGTGCAGATGACTCCCAAGTCTATAAATCAACCTCTTATTACTTTTCTGAAATATTCTCCAACATATCAATTATTTGCTAGACGTTTCCTCCTAAATGTCCCATAAACATCTCAAAATCATTACTTACAAAATGGAACTCAGTAGTTTCCCCCTAAACTCATCCTTTACTGAGGAGAAAATATTGACTTCTCAATATTTTACTTGTGGGATTCAAAGCCCGCCACCATCTGCTTCCTACTTACCTCTCCAGCCTGATATTGTGTTACTCCCTTCTATGCACTCTATGTTTGTTGAATTTGTTGAATGTTTGTTGAATCTGAGCAACTAGTAATCACATTAACAAAGACTGTTTAACACCTACCCATGTTCTTTGCCTGCCTATAATTATAATGGAAAATTTACCCACCATTTGGTTTTATCTGTGATTAAAATTAGAAATATACACTTGGCAGCTTCTCTCTTTTTGTGTCCCTTTCCTGCTGCAATGCCAGCAGAAGATAAGATTTTGTTATAAAAGAACATTTACAGGCTGTTTGGAGTGTTGCATGGAGCTTGCCTGAACTTCCATGGTGAGTGAGGGAAATCTTTTCCAGAGCTATTTTATCAAGTACATTATACAAAACAAAACAAAACAGAACAATGAAAAAAATCAAGTCATCATGAATCATTACAGTCTTTGTTGTGTTTCTCTACCAAGACTCAATTATGTATTTCACTCTATTTAGATGCTGCTAATTTGGACAATCCCTCTGCTATTGGGCATAGTGGCAGGTAAGAAACCATATTTGTGTCTGTATTGAACATGTAAGTCTGTTGTGTGTGTCAGTCTGTGAAATGGTTCAGAATTATTTTCTATATAGAGACAGTCTGATGTAATAGATTGAAAGCCAGCCTCTGCATCAGGAAAGGTTGGGTTCATGTCTCACTGCTGGTATATACTGGCTGAATTGATTGTGGGCAAGTAACTTAACCTCTCTGTGCTCTAGGTAGCTGTCTAAGACTAAGTTGCAGAGGTTCATCTGCCTTGTAAGGAATTCCTTACAATAATGTCTCTACATGCATGGAATCATAAGATGGCCACAAATAAATATTCCATGCCATAGTGTTCTAACTTTAAATTCTGGTATCTTTGCCAACACTGAATTTTTTTCCTTTGGAGGAGCCCACTGAAAGTGTAATGTTCCAGCCCAGAATTACGCTAAACTAAACTGCTTTTGCTCATGTGCTGAGCCTGCATCTCCTTCATTTTGAGTGCCACTTGGGCCAAAGTTTTGGTTGGGCCCAAAGGATGAAAGTTTTTCGGGTGATGGCTAAAATTTAAGCTCTTAAGTGAATGTTCAACACTGATTAGAGCTGGGAGCATTTCTGCCACTCACATAGAATGGAAGAACATGTTGGTTCACACTTGTACAGTGCTTTACTGTTCAGCACAATTCAACAGGAATGTACTGAATTTCAACTAGATACCAAGCACTGTATATACAGAGAGAAAAGAAAACATAGTTCATTACCCTAAGGACTTAGAATGGAATGAGGAAGATGAGGTATGTGCACAAATAGTTATAATGTAAGGTAGAATATGATAAGGGGAGAGATCCAAGCATAGGGATATGAGAAATTTGAGGTTAGGGAAATCACATCCAGCTGGCAGAATTAGGGAAGACTTTTTCAGGAAGCAGTACTAGAATTGGACCTTGAAGAAAATAAGAGGTGATGGGGAGAAGGGGAAGCATGAGCAAAGTATAATCAGATCTAGAAATTGAAATGACTTAATAGGCCACCTAGTCCAATCCTCTCATTTTTAGAATTACCTAAATGAGGCTCAGGGAACTTAAATTACTTTGCAAGGTCACACAGGTCAGACTAAGGATCTTAGTCTTTCTGACTCCAAGTCCAGTCTTCTACTCACTATACTCCTGAAAAAACGTGAAGCAGACAGGATGACACTGAGGGATGATTAATAGTCTAGTTTGACTAAGAGTATATGAAAGGGATTGATGTATAATAGAATAGACAACGTTGTAAGGGAAGGATGGAATTGCATCACAGAGAGCTTTAAAAGTAAAGAAAAGGATGTTATACTGCATTCATTAGATACTGGGGAGTCACTGATGGTGTTTGATAAGAGTCATAATTTAAAGGTTACATTACCAAGATTATAACAGAGGGATCAGAGAGATTGGAGGCAGACAGACCCATTAAAAGGTATTGCTATTGCCCCACTGAGAAGTGATGAAACCTTTAAGAGGGGGAGGTTGTAGTGGTAGTAGAAATGAAGGGCAGGATGTGAGAGATGATAAAGAGGTTAAATCAATAGAACTTGGCAACTGATAAGATGTAGAGGATAAAGAAGAGAGAAAAATCCAAAATGACTTTGGGTTTTCCAGGTTCAGAGACTGGGAAGATTGTGCTGCCATTAATAGAAATTGACAGGTTAAAAGAAGGGTAGTTTTTTGGAGGGAAGGGATGAGTGCAGTTGGAATCATGTTGAATTTAAGGGACTGATCTGACAGGTGCTGTAGGCAGCTGAAATACATATTCTCTCATTGGATCCCTCAAATAACCCAATTATGTATTATTATTATTATCCCTATTTTACAATAAGAAAACTGAAGTTCAGAGCTGCTGTGACTTGTCCAGAGTCATACAGGTAGTGAAAAAATACAAATCACAATTATATGTTTCTTTATGTTTTTTAAAGCAAGTTGTCAGGATACTTCTTTAAAAGAACAAAGTTTATTCTACTGCACCATTATACCTTTAATTAAGGTGTACTTTTTTGTATTTTTTTTTGAGGCTGGGTCTCCCTATGTCTCTCAGGTTGGAAGGCCAAGGGCTACTCACTGACCCCATGTAATCACCACTGGTCAACATGAAAACTTTGATCTATACTGTTTCTTACATGGGTCATTTCACTCCCTCCCTAGACAACCTATTAACTCCCCCAAACCTGACATATTGAGGTCAGTTTGGTCCCATTGCAGCTTAAAAGTTCTGAGCTCAGGAGAACCTTCAAGGTCAACCTCCCCCATAGATGGGACTATAGTGTGGGCTACCATATCCAGCACTAAGGTGTCTTAGCAGTACTTAGCACAGTATGTGTCACATAGTAGGTGCTTAACACATCTTTCTTGATTGGCTAAGGTGTGTTTTCTTCAGATTGTATTGCCTGTGGACCCACCACAGAAATGGTGGGAACAAAAAAAATGGGTTTGGGGGAAGGTCTTACCAGGGCAATAAGAGGAATGAGGCACTTGAGTATTTTAAATACTGTGTCTTTAGCACTTAGGAAAGAAGAACATGGATGTCACTTATAACCATCTAGAGACTTTGAGGAGAGGGAAGTAAAATGTAAAACATTATTTTAAAAAGTCCTCTTCCTATGTAGCAGAGAATGCATCAAAACTGCCCTCTAATGAAAAAATGCTCTAAATCACTATTGATTAGAGAAATGCAAATCAAAACAACTCTTGAGGTACCACATCACACCTATCAGATTGGCCAACATGAGAAAACAGGAAAATGATAAATGTTGGAGAAGATGTGGGAAAATTGGAACACTAATGAATTGTTGGTGGAGTTGTGAAATGATCCAACCATTTTGGAGAGCAATTTGGAACTATGCCCAAAGGGCTATAAAAATGTGCATACCCTTTGACCCAGCAATAGCACTTCTAGGGCTGTATCCCAAAGAGATCACACAAATGGGAAAAGGACCCACATATACAAAAATATTTATAGCAGCTCTTTTTGTGGTGGCAAAGAATTAGAAATTGAGACGATGCCCATCAATTGGGGAATGGCTGACCAAGTTGTGGTATATGAATGTAATGGAATACTATGTAGGCCGACTTCAGAAAAACCTGGAAAGACTTGTATGATCTGATACTGAGTGAAATGAGCAGAACCAAGAGAATGTTGTACACAGTAACAGCCACATTGTGCAATGACTGACATTGATAGACTTAGCTCTTCTCAGCAATACAAGGATCTAAGACATCTCCAAAGGCCTCATGATGGAAAATGCTATCCCCATCCAAAGAAAACTATGGAGTTTGAATGCAGATTGAAGCATACTATTTACTACTTTTTTTTTTCTGTTGTGTTTTGTTTCCTCTTTCTAGTGGTTCCTCCTATTGGTTTTAATTCTTACTTACTACATCACTAATGTGAAAATGTGTTTAATAAGAATACATATGTATAGCCTATATCAGATTGCTCACAGTCTTGGGGAGGGAGGTGGAGAGGGAGAGGGAGAAAAATTTAAAACTCAAAAGTTTATGGAAGTGATTGTTGATGAAGCAAAATAAAATAATACAAACGTGGGAAAAAAACTGCCCTTTAGGTTAATTTGTTACTGAAATGTTCTTTTTTGGGGGATTACAGGAGATGAAGTTTGCTATCCAAGAGTCGGATGCTTTACAGATGATAAACCATGGGCTGGTATTTCTGGAAGACCCTTTAAAGTGCTCCCCTGGTCTCCACAAGACATCAACACCCGTTTTCTTCTGTATACCAATGAAAACGCAAACGAGTATCAAGTACGTCATGCTATTATTTTAAGATTTGTGACTTGTGCATATTATTTAGAGGAAATAATAGACTGTCTAGATTTCCTAGCTCCTCACTGAACATACACCAGAGAAGACAGTTGGAATCTTTGAGGACTTTTTAAAAACAATAAGATCAAGTTTTAATTTACTGTGAATTTTCCAGGGAGTCACTGTTTGTCTTATGTCAAGTCAAGTCAAGTCAACAAGCATTTATTAGGTACCTACTATGTGCCAGGCTCTGTGGTAAGTGCCAAGAACACAGAGGGAAAAGCAAACAAACAAAAAACAAAAAACAAAAAACAAAAACTCAAAAACCAGTCTCCAAGAGTTCAGAGTCTAATGGGGAAGAGCACATGCAAACAACTGTGCAAACAAGTTGAAGATCTATATTTTGTATTTAAACTATTAACAATTGCTTTAAATGTAATAGATAAGGATCAACTCTTCCTCCTCCCAGGTCATATTTTTGCACATTCAAACTGCTTTTACTATCATTATTAGAGCATATGTTTCTCACTGTATTTCCTATGTGATGACGGAGTCCTGGGGTATTTACCAATTAGGCTGTGATTTGCAACAATGTCAATGTAGCTATGAAGAAGACCTCTTTCTCAGAAGCTTTTCCCCTCCTGTCGAAATATTTCAGAAAATAGAGAGGTTGATAAGCAATTTTTTTCCTTCTTAACACAGGAAATTCTTCCAGACAATTTGGTATCTGTCAAAA